AAAAAAAAAAAAACAAAAAAATTACATTCATTTTTTTGAAAAAAACAAAACAAACAAATAAAAAAAGAAGGCATCGATAAATGACAAAAATAATCTTTTTTTTTCTGCAAAATTAATAAACATAAATTTTTTTTAACACTACCAAAAAAAAATTGACTAACACAAGGAAAATTGTCTTTTCTTTCTCTTCCACTTCCTAAACGAATGGCAAAAATAATTTGGCTCCTTTTTTTCGTTATTTTTCATTTCTTCTTTCCCTTTTTTCTTCATTTCCAATTTTCAGTTTTTGTTTGTTTGTTTGTTTGTTTATTTATTTTTTGGTCGTATTAATCATCCACAACATCATTGAACAGATAATACCAAAGCAGACGGGTAAGGAGCAACTAACAAAAAAGAAGAAAAAACCTGAATTTTCCAAAATGCAAAAAGAAAAATAAAATAAAATAATATAAAACAAAATGAAATAAAGTACTAATGGATATTTTGCTAATCATTTAAGTGTTGTCTGTCAGTAATGCCGATACATTGGCCGTGGAGGATCCGTTTCCTCAACGCCCCACGGTGGCCATCGAAAGTTAAAACAACAGCAGTGTATTAAACGATATTTTTGCTCTCGTATATCACGACGTGGATATGTTTTTTGATACGATGGTCTTAGATACCCTCCACCGGTTCTGTTTAATGTGTTCATTGAGGTTAGATAACCGCTACCACCACCAGATGGTCCATTAAGGGCCGATGTTGTCGTTGGTTCCTTATAATAGCTACGGTTCCATGTATTATAGGAACGTTGTGCACTGTACATGCCACCCCTATGATCATAGTCATCTCGCGGAGAACTGGGTGAAAGTGGAGAACCTAAAACCTTAGTAAACTACAATGAACGCTGTTTTGCTGAGTTGTTCAGCAAACTAATCTTGCGAACCAGTTGCTGCCAATAGTCAGGAATTGAGGGTGTTCCTGAAGAAGTCGTCAATTCAAAAACCGACCTGATTTCTCTCGAAAACTACGTTCATATCGCCATTCGTAATCCATTGGTCTTGGAGAGTAATGTTGACTGATCGGTGCAGCTTCAATGGCTTGAAGACGCACAGAATCGTCAGGATAAAAGCGCGTTTCACGAGGATGTGAAGTAACATAGAATGGCTGATAATCATAACGCCTTCTGGGCAATGTAGCATTTATCATATGAGTTCTGTCAAATCTTCTGTCATCATAGTCGTCATAATAACTATCACGAAGGAAATCTCTTCCACATTCAAGAGATCTGGATCTTCTAGACAGTTCTAGTGGACGCTCAGAAAAGTAATCATATGAATACGAGTCTCGGCCACGATACAGGGGGCTTGCAGGTCTCAAGAGAATTTCAGAATTTCTTGAACGATGCATTTCTGCTACTGTTTTGACTCGTTCACTTCTTTAAGAATTATCAAATTCAATTTTTGCAATAGCAGCCGAACAAGAAGAATTAGCAGCCAATTTTTTAAAATCCAGATAGAATAACTACGAAGAACAATGAAAAAACTTTCCGGCTTTCAATTACAGAAAACCGTGACGTGAAATGATCAGCTATGTAGTTGTCCAACTAAAGTCAGATCAGTTTTTAGAAGATCATAGTATCACCAGCCGTACTTTACGAGCGATACTTTTGCCCAGGCAAAAATAATTACAATCCGTAATTAATAATCAAAAAATTCTCTTGTTGTCTTTCTGAGCAAGAACTGATCAGAAAATGAGAATGAAAATGGAGGTTCCGAAAAAAATTTATTAGACAAAAAACAAAACAGTCGAAACAAAAGGGGCTTGGACAAGTAAATTTATCGATCAAGCCAACAGCGAAGAGCTAAATTTGCCTGTCTGCTGGACCAAAGGCGTTTTGTTTGAAAAGAAAACGGACTTCAGAAGGACAACATTGAATGAAGGAAACTACCGATGGGTAAAAATGCGCTGGACGAAACCGGTATATTTTTGCCCAGTGGGTCCTTCTCCTGCAGTGTTCGACAGTGTGTTTGTTTGCGCTATGGGTTGACGCCCAGTGAAAGCACGCCCGCAATCATTTCATTTGGAACAAACACGTTTCTTTTCTTTTTTCTATTCCAATTCAGTCAGTCACTACTGTACAGAGCAGACACACCAACTGCAACCTTACAGGACATTGGCATACCACTTACGAGAAATGAATGTCAAGTTTTGTCAGTGCACAATGATATGTACGTCTGTCAATCTCGACCCGACGGTGCAAAGGATTTCGATGAAAAATAGGCCGGATGAACAAACCGGATAAATCCGGAAGTATGTTTCGGCAAATACTCCGTAAGGCAAGTTGCCTTTAAGGTATATACAACACTTATTTGGTTTAATCAAAAGCAATGGGAAGGGAAAAGAAATGGGGGAAGTGGAAAAGGTTTTAGCCGATAACTGTAACAATGACACAACAGACGACAACTGTACGCGAAAAGGGTAACAGCAAAAACAAATTTTTGTCAATTTCTCGACAAAAAAAAATTCTTTCTCTTTTTTTTTTTATTTATGTCACTTTTTGTTGCTACAAAAATTTTTTCGTATTTGTGTAAAAAAATTTTTTTATATTTGCTGGGCATGCTGCGTACATTACTTCAATACCTAAATCTATTTTCCTCCTCTTTTATATTGTTTCTTCCTTTTTACCCTCATCTCTCCTATTCAGTTGTGTAGTGCTGATTCACTTTTCTATCGTATCTCCTGGTTAGCACAAACATAGCGACTGACACACAAAATCCAGTATCAAAGAGTTTGTTGTAATTCTGCGTTATCCTAATCTATAGATTTCTTCTAACCTTTTTCTTTGTTTTACTCCCATAATTACGACCAAATTAGGTGTGACTGTTGACTATAAATCGCTGTTTCTATCATCCGGTAAAGTTGAATAAGGTGTAGCCAAAAAAATACTAGGATTTATAGGAAAAAGAACAGAATTAAATATACGATGAGAAACCGAGTTTCCCTTTACATTTTTGTCGTTCTAACTGGTTAAACCAGAAAAACTACACAAGTTTTCTAAATTTCCGTTTTTCTACAGTCCCTCTCCCCTAGTCTCCAGTGCCCCGTACCCCTCGCCAAATTTTCTCTCTTCAGTTTTTCTTCTCACTTGTTTTTCAAAACAGCAGCAACGACATCAGTAACAAAAAATCACTCTAACATCAGAATATAAAAGTGATGAAGGTGATAATGATGGTAACTTTGAAGAATTTATAATCCAAAAAAATTGTATTAAAATTATACAGCCTGTTATAGTGTTCTCCCTCGCCCACTATAAAAGAGCACTTTTATTTCCACTTTTTTTCTCAATTTTTGCCACATTTTCATCCAATGAAACACATATCTGTCTATTTTTTAAGGTTCTTCATGGTTTCTTTTTCACTTTTTCTGCACCTTCGTCTACACCCCCTACACTCTCATCTTCTCCTCATTAAAGTCTTTTGTTCCTTGTAATTTTATTTCGTTTTACCCAATTTTGTTTTTCTTTTTATTTCAATTTTGCTTTGTTCTGTTTGTGTTTTTTTTGTTGCTTGAAGAAGCCGTTAAAAGAATGTGATAATATACATAAATATACCTAAACATCGATGACAGCAGCACTCCGCCTATCTTACTCCTCTCCTCGGTTTGTTCACCCGTCGCTAACTTCTTTCAAAATAAAAAATAGCTCCTAGTTTTTCATCGGTATTTAAGTGAAAAAAAATAAAATCCTTGTTTTTTCCATGATTGTTCAGCGTTGGAAAATTGAAAAGAGTGAAGAGAAGAGAAAGTAAGCAAAGAGAAGGAAGGGGTGAAAAGAAATATGTAATTTTGACCTTGTCATCCAAAAAAGAATGTATCATTGAGAGTAGTCCTTCATCGTTCCCGTACTGATTTATAAAGAAAGCAGTCAATCTAAATGAGAGGGGTAATTTGAGTTACACAGCAAAAGTTGAAGAAATTGCGGAAAAACAAGAAAAAGTTGTAATACACTTGATTTTTTTAATTAAATACCTCACAAAAAAAAAATTTATTTTTGCAATTTCTTGTGATGTGTTTATTGTATGGTGCTAAAAACTGTGAGCTGAAACGAATAAATCTGAAAATTAATGACACTGTTGACTGACTGTAAAAAGCGCTTCCAAAACGATCAACTGAAAAAAATAAAATTTTTTTCCACTGCCGTTGTCCTTTTTCTTATAATTTTTGAATAACATTATTTTAATTTTTTGATTTTTTAATTCTTTAAATAATCTTTTATAGTGCGTTTTTTTCAGCAAAACTGATACCTTTCCAATGGTAGGAAAAAAAGCGAAGAAAAAAGAAAAACAAAATTTTCTTTTTTTTTTTTTTCCAGCACTTATCGTCCCAAAAACAACACCCCCTTCAGTTCCCGTCGTTTTCTGCGTCTTCTCGTAACATTTTTCTTCTCAACTGTTCATTTTTCCTTTTTCAAAAAAAGAAGAAAAAAGGTAACTAAAAACAGCAATCAAAATTTTAAAAAGTTGAAAGCAAACAAATTTTTAAAGTTTAGAAGAAAAGAAAAACAGAGTTTGTTTTGGTGTTGTATTTGTCTATTCCGTAGAAAGAATTTTTGGTGAAGGCATTGTGATAAGGATATAAAACGGTAGAAGAAAACTTGAAACAAGAAATATGAACTGTTGGTTGATCTTATTACTCGTTCCAAATTTGCTTCCCACAACTGTTCTTTTCAAATAGCTAAAGTTAAATGCCAATGAAAGGTTCAGTTCAAATTTGTTGAACCACTCGATACAGTATACCAGGTTAAGACAGGAAATGGCACCGAAGAAGTAAGTTTTACTGTTGTTGTTTACTAAACTGAAGATGAGCGATCAACCTAATGACGGCATCGGTCTCTTCAAAACAGTAGCAATAACAGCAGTCAAATCTTTCAGCTGGCTGCAAAACAACAAAAAAACACTGTAATTGTAGTTTTCTTGGTTACTAAGTGTTCCATTAAAACGGTTTTGTATGGCGGAAAACAAAAAAAAAAAGGAGGAAAATCGCAAGAAAAAAGCACCACAATAACACACTGACAAATAACAACGATTGCAATGAATTGTGTCGTTTGGATAAATGAAACGGCTTCGAATGGGCAATTGGAATAGCACAATTGGGTGTCAAATAATTGTCATTATGGTCAAACCAATTTTAAAGTTTCAATAAATTTCGTAGAAATTTTTTACTATGCTTCTAAAGCAATTCACTTTCAGTTAACAATTAACGATTTCCCGAAAAGTAGAGTTTTTCAACCTTCTATAACCTTTACTTTTATCCTTTTTCCCATCTCTCCTTCTCCTCACCTTCTTTCCGATCAATTCCTTTTTCATTCCTACTTTTCTCAGTCTCTCCCCTCAACGTTTTCTACCATTCACCAGTTCTTCCAATTTTTCAGCCATTAAACTTAAACTGTTCTTAGAATTTTAATAGGTGTTTTTGCTGCAACTGTAACTGCGCTTTAGTTGTTAGTCTACAGCACTAGCATTCTTAACTTATTTTTTATAAAATTTTGAAGTTCAAGTCAAGTAAAAAGTAACATTTTGAATGATATGCAATCCCTCCTTCTTTTTACCTCCAAACTTCCTTCCACTAATCTTTTTCGAAGATTCAGTTTTTGTTCACTTTCGCTGACAAAATACTGTATTTGATTACATTTACAGTGCATTTTTGCATCTGTTCTCTTTTATCTAAATCCTTAAATCACAATTAATCATTTCAGTGCCATAAATTACTTCTGAGCGCAAACAGCGCAAATAGATTGAAAAAGAGAAGCACAAAAAATTCTTCAATATCGTAATGTTTTTCTTAATAAAAGTTCTTATTTTTCCTTGTTACCTGTCACAACGTCTAAATAATTTAATAAACTTTACTGCTTCCTTTTTCTTTTTTACCGTTACTCTCGTCAACTTCTAAAACAATAGTGCGTTTCCTGTTTTAAAGACTCATTTTGTCCTTTTTTTTCTTGCAGTTCTTAAAGAAAAAAAAAAATAAGAAAAAGTTTTTCTCTACCCAAATTTTATTTTTTGCACAG